ATTGCATGCTAGGTTTAGGATGCTGCAACTCGCTAGGTTAGTTGCTGCCCCGGATGCTCCGAGACTGCCCTGTTTTGGTTTTAGGGACCCAGATTTGGGGGTGGGAGTCGCTTCAGTTCTGGTTCTGTCCTCCCTCCTTGTCCTTTCCCTTCTGTTGTCCATCCAGTTCCTCCCCCTTCCCCTTGCTTCCGGCTTCGAAGCGTCTGAGGGTTTCGAAGTCAAGGCAGAGTTTAGTTTGTGTTGAGACTCGGGCAGTCTCAGGAGAGTCCCCTCCCGGGGTGGAGGTGGAGGCATTCGAGCCTTGTTCTCTTGCTGGAGCTTCTGGGTCTGACCAGTGGACCCCTTTGTTCCTGCTTTTTTGGCTGCTCTTGCCTTTTCTTTAGAAGCGGTGGGTGTGGAGGACGGCTTGACCCCGGATCCTTGGGGTGAGGTTCCTGGGACGGGGGAGGGGTTGACTTGGGGGCCTTGGGTCCCGTTGGACCCCGCTTGGGTTTTTGCACCCTCAGAGGGGGCTTGGTGTTACAGAGTGTGGGGTTCTCTTTTGCTCCCTCCTTGTACGAGTTGGATTTAATGTCTGCCCAGCGTTGCCGGCTTCCTCTTTGGGGTTCAGTACCTTGGCGCCTAACTGAGCCCTCGCTTGATGTTTTAATGGACACGTTGTCTCTTGGCTGGGGTTTTGTGACCAGTGCACACCAGGCTGGTCAGGAGCGGTGAGTTCCGTCCCTCCTTTGGGCTCACAGCACGATGCAGAAGTTCATGGCTGTGTGAATATCGCTCTGGAGGATTCTGGTCTCTCTTGGATCGACGTTCCAGCTCCATTCAGACTGTTCCCCAGTGGTTCATTGCCTGAACCTCAGGGCTTTGATGCGATCCTTGGTTCTTTGGGGCTGGCCGTTTCGGGTGACTCGTCTGCTGAGTTCATGTGGGTCTCATGGCGGTTCACATTCAGGGGGTATCCAATGACCTGGCGGACGGCCTGTCCCGGTTCATTCCCCTGTCTACAGATTAGACGGTCTCATGGCGGTTCACATTTGTGGGGTGTCCAATGACCTGGCGGACGGCCTGTCCCGGTTCATTCCCCTGTCTACAGATTAGACGGTTGACGCCGACTTGTTCCATTGGCTCTGCCGGACATTTGGGCCTCCCTAAGTGGATCTCTGCGTCGGCGTGGTTGAGGTGTCTTCCTGTATACGTGGCGCCCTTCCCCAACTGTGAGGCCGTCGGGGTCGATGCCTTCAGGCAGGACTGGGTGAGGTGGGGTTACCTGTACATCTTCCCCCGGATTCAGCTGTTGCTCCATGTCCTCACTTACCAAGTAAGAGTTATCCTCTTGGCCCCATGGTGGCCGGCTCAACTTTGGTTTCAGGCGCTGCTTGCTCGGTGTCCCAATTTGAGGGTCTTCCCGCAGCTCCGCCTCTTTCAGGAGATCAGTCCTGCCCGTTTGACTGGTTTGCTCTTCTCCTCGGGTCTTCGCGTCTGGTCTTTATGACTCAAGTCTATCACCATTTGTATGGGGCGCAGGTTGCTTTGTTGTTGGTCTCCCATCTGTGTGCTTCGTCTCAACGGCAGTACAGTATGAGGTTTCCTGGCAGTCCTTCTGGCTTTTCCTATCACTGCGTAGGTGTACTTCGGTGTCTGATAGGGTTGTTTTGTCTTTCCTGTTGTGGTTGTTTCAGGACCATCATGTTATGCTGAATACTGTCGCTTCCTGTCGTGCGGCGCTGGCGGAACTGCTCCAGCTTGTGTTCGGTATTGATGTTAAGTCTGCTCCGTTCTGCAAGTTGTCTCGTGCGTTGTTTCACTTCTGGCCTGCTCATGCGTCGCCTGAGCCCTCCTGGTCCTTGGACCGGGTGCTCTCTTTCATCTCTTCTCCTCGGTTTGTGGTGGCCCCTTCGGTTCGGGATTGTTTTCCAAGGCTCTTCTTCCTGTTGGCATTGGCCTCTGGGGGGGTCGGGTCAGGGAACTTCATGCTGTCCTACGGCGCTGGGGTTTCTGCTCTTTTGGTTCTGGTGATAGGTTTGTTCTGTTGCAGCCGTCTCTTTCTTTTCTGGCAAAGAATGAGACTGCTGCTTTCTGCAGGGGTCCTTGGGTTGTTGATGCTTGGTTGGTTGCTGGGGTGCATCATGTCTTGTGTCCAGTTGCAGTTCTCAGCCATTATTTGCGTACCATGGCTTCGGTGGCCGGGGATGCGCTGTAGGTTGATCTGGTTCCCCTTCTTCCTTGTTCCTGGGCTTGGGTCTCCCAGGTCATCCACAGGCCTGAGGCTAGCTAGCTTGTGGTGGTGTATCCTCGTGCCCACGATGTGCGTAAGTTTGCTACTTTGGCTACCGTCTTTGGCAACATGTCTTGGGTTGACATTCGGGCACAGGGTTTTTGGAGGTCGAACAGGGTCCTGGCCGCTTGCTGCCTTGTCAGTATACCTGGACCTCGTAGGGCCTGCATTGCATTGGGCTGGCGGTTGCAGCCAATTGCCTCGGCTTCGCGTTGAGGAGTGAGGACTGACCGCCACCCGGGTAGTCCCTGTTTTTCCTTGTCTTTGGGTAGTTAGCTCCCGAGAGCATTTCCGATGGTTCCTTTCATATAAAAGGGGTGACACCGAGGAAAATAAGACTCGCGTCCCTACCAAAAAAAAAACAAAAAAAAAACAAGACACAAGGTAGTTAGCTCCCCCAGAAAACCAGCGTTGAATGTAATGAAAACCCATTTTCTGAGCGAGTCCCAGAGGCTCCTCGGCATCCTTCCTTCCCTCCAGTCGGCGGTGTTTTTTTTTTTTTTTTTTTTACATCCAGCCTAAGAACTGCAGGGTGGATCGCTGGCGTGAGGGTCTGGGACTCCCCCTTCCCCTTCCTAGGATGGGGGAGGGGGGGGGAGCTACACAGACATTTGCGCGGCAACATGATGACGTTATGCTCGTTTGCTATTTTTTGTTTTGGAAGTTCTGTTCACTCGTTTGGCTTTTTATTAGCAATAGTTTCACCAGAATAGGGGTTTGTTTTGGGGCGCCTACCTTTCTGGGTGCCAGATCCGGTCGATGGCAGATATAGAATGCTTCCAACCACATGGGGGGTTTCTATAGGCCATTGCTCCTCGAGCCTCTCTTGAGGGGTCGATGGCAGACATAGAATGCTTCCAACCACATGGGGGGTTTCTATAGGCCATTGCTCCTCGAGCCTCTCTTGAGGGGACCATGAGCCATGCTCTGGCTCATGGTCTCTGGTAGGCAAGAACTTCATGCACATTGACTGATGCCAGAAAGTTATACATATCCATTCAGCCAGGATAGCTCCAGAGAGCCTCCGGGACTCGCCCAGAAAATGGCTGTTTCATTACTTTCAACACTAGGTTTTTGGTAATATGTCCTGGGCTGATATTCGGGCATGGGACTTTTGGAGCTCGAACATGGTCCTGGCCGCACAGTACTATTTTTTGTTTGGGGAGTTCTGTTCACTCGTTTGGCTTTTGGTAGCAATAGTTTCACCAGAATAGGGGTTTGTTTTGGGGTGCCTACCTTTCTGGGTGTCAGATCCGGTCGATGGCATAGAATGTTCCCATCCACACGGGGGTTTCTGTAGGCCATTGCTCCTCGTGTCTCTCTTGAAGGGGGGCAGGTTCTGGCTCATGGTCCCCGGTAGGCAAGAACTTCGTGCACATTGTCCTGGAAGCCTCCGGGACGTGCCCAGAAAATGGCGTTTCATTACATTCAACGCTAGGTTTTTGGTAATACTATGTCCTGGGCTGACATTTGGGCATGGGGCTTTTGGAGGTCGAAAGGTAAGTCCCTCTTTTCCTTTATCTTTGGTTAGGTAGATCTGGGGAGCTGAAGGGGCCCTCCACAGAAAATCAGCATTGAATGCAATGAAATGCTATTTTCTGGGTGAGACCCGGAGGCTCCCAGGCATTCCTCCCTCCCTCTTGTTGGATTTTGTGTTTTTTTGATATTCAACCTCTGAACTTGGGTTGGGTAGGCAGTGCGGGAGGACTGTAACCCCCACAGTCCCAGATGTGGGTTGACTGTGTTATTACGTTCAATGCTGGTTTTCTGTGGGGAGCCCCTACCAATCCCTACCCAGGGCCAAACAAGGGCCCCAAGCCCCAGCTGGCCCCAAGGGCGAGGCAAATGCCGAGCAGCAAGAACCTCTACGGGAATGGTTCCCGAACGCCCCAGGGAAGATAACCCTGTTACGCAAGGGCAGTACTCACAGGGCGCTTAGGGAAGTCAGCCACTAAGCACATGCAGCCCCGGCACTGATGAAGTACTCCTGGCCACTGCACAACACAACACACGGCAGTGAACGCCATACAAGGCAAACACCGCCTAGGAAACTGAGGCCAGAGAAGCGTCAATCCCGGTTGACATTAGCGAACGAACTAGAGCTTGGCAGCCGGTGCGGTAGGTCCGGGGCTCCCCCCTCCCCCTCCCGGGGTGGGGAGGGCTGCGCGGACGATCGGCGCGGCAGTAAAGTGTGATGTTTGCTTGTTTGCTAGTTTCCTTGGGATTGTAGGGAGTTTTCTACCTCTCTGTTCGGTTTTTGTTGTAGTTTCTTACCATGTGGGGTTTGTTTTGTTACGCCTACCTTTCTGGGTGCCTAACCCCGGTCGATGGCAGATAAGGAAAACCCCCAACCATATGGGGTTTTCCAGGGCCATTGCTCCCTGAAACCTCTCTGAAGGGGCCAGGTTCTGGCGCTGGTCCCTGGTAGGTCTGAACTCCTTAGCTAATGTCCCGGTCTAACATAACATACATTAGCCCGATAAGCTCCAGGGAGCCTCCGGGGCTCACCCAGAAAATGGCGTTTCATTACATTCAACGCTGGTTTTTTGTCCATAATGAGGAAGGTCTATTTACGTAATTTAGCCAGACTACTCTTGCTGGATGAAGGGTTGACACATCAGTGGAACTTGAGTATTAATGACACAGTTTAACGTATGTCATTAATTGGGAAAAGCTTTATTACAAAATTATTAATATAATGCTATTTAATTTGTGTTTCTTTCGTCAGAGTGAATGTACTTGGAGGCAGCCTCCCGGCCGGGATATTTACCGCAAAGGTACACTTAGCATCTATGAAGTGGACGGTGCTGACCACAAGATTTACTGTCAGAACTTATGTCTATTAGCCAAATTGTTTCTTGATCATAAAACCTTATATTTTGATGTGGAGCCGTTCTTGTTTTATATTCTGTGCGAGGTGGACAAGCAAGGTGCTCATTTAGTTGGATATTTTTCAAAGGTATGTCTATTGTCTTTTATTCTGTATACAGTTTACAATAATTATTTTGTTCCTGCTAATAATAATGTTAAAATTTAATAAGAGCTGTATTGAGCATATATGTTGTAGAGTATACTCTGTGAAATAATTTGTTTATATTTGTGATTACTTGGGTTTTGCAGGCATATAAATGCAGATTTAAATATTTTTCATTATTTGAAGAGTACAGTACAGTATTAGGAAATTACACATAGCACAATTTTAAAAATAGATTTTAATCCTGTCTTGATCATATCTTCATGTTATGCAATGAAGATATAATTAATCATGTTATGCATGATTAATATTTTGCATAAACGTTTCTGTATTAATTTAATAATAATTTACCAAATTATTATTTTTGCCAAAGTTAATTTAACCAAATAATTTACATTATTTTCAAAGATATACATGTCTTATATTATTGCTGAATTGTTTTTGTTCAATGTTACCTCTCAGTGTAACTTAATACCAGCATAAATGCTTACATCCTGTTCAGTATTTTTTAATTAATCTTGGAAGAATTTATGCTGGCATATATTGCTGAATATAATTTAAGATATGTTGTATAATTCCAAAGGTGCACTATTTTTCAGGAGAAAGAGTCCCCTGATGGTAATAATGTAGCATGCATCATGACCCTGCCACCATTCCAAAGAAAAGGTTATGGAAAACTTCTCATAGCATTCAGGTACCAATTTTATAATAATTCCAAATAATATATATATATATATATATATATATATATATATATATATATATATATATATATATATATATATATATATATATATATATATATATATATATATACATACACATATATATATATATATATATATATATATATATATATATATATATATATATATATATATATATACACACATATATACATACATACATACATACATACACACACTGTACTTTATATACAGGTTACTGTACTTTCTGTGGATAGCTCCTTTGGCTCCCGGAGCTATACTAGGCTGATGTGTATATATTAGATCATGGCAACAGTCAATGGGTGGAGTTCTAGGCCTACCGGGGACCATGAGCCAGAACCTGGGGCCAGATTCACGAAAGCACTTACGCCAGCATTTACGAACTGTACATCTTTTCTCAATCTTTGGCGGCTTTGTTTACAATTATTAAACAGTTAATGAGCTCTGACACACCAGGAGGCTGTTTATAACAACAACAACAGTTGATTGGCAAGTTGTCATGCTTGTAAACTGTTTAATAAATGTAACCAAAGCCGTCAAAGATTGAGGAAAGATGTATACGTTCGTAAGTACTTGCGTAAGTGGTTTCGTGAATCTGGCCCCTGGGCCCCCCTCAGAGAGGCACAAGGAGCAATGGCCTATAGACACCCCCCATGTAGTTGGAAGCAGTCTATGTCTGCCATCTACCAGGTCAGGCATCCAGAAAGGTGGGAATCCCAAAACAATTGCAGCTGTTTAAAATTGCAAACCGAAATCAAAACGAGCAGGCAGAACTCCCCAATCAAAAAACAAGCAATCAAGCAAGATGTCACCACAGCTGCCGTGCCACTGTCTGCGCAGCTTCCCAGGAAGGGGAAGCCCCAGACCTCCCGTGCCAGCTACCCAACCCCAGTTCTGAGGCTTTTGTGGTAGGTGGCGATCAGTCGTGTTAGGTGGCTCCAATCCTTGAGCAATGTTGTGCCTTGTGCTGTTGTGCTGTGGTATGGTGGTGTGCGAGCCAGGAGTAATTCCAGAAGTACTGGGGCCTAGGGTCACCGTTCCTAGGTGCCCTGTAAGTATTGCCCTTGTGGTTTTGGGTTATCTTCCATAAGCCATTCAGGAACTACCTCCGCAGGGTTCTTTTGCTGCTCAGTTACTGCCCGCCCTTTGGGTCAGCTGGGTTTGTTCCTGCCTCTGTTTGGCCTTGGGTAGAAGGTAGCTGGCTGGGGTGCAAGGTACTGTGCAGCGGTCTGATATACGCATAGTGGCCGAACATCTGTTCTGGAGACATTGTGCTTTTTGCGGGGTTTTTCTTTTCTTTTTGTTTTGTTTGCCTGGCGGGGTCTGCCTTGTGTGACTATAGGTCCACTTGTATTTCTGGGGGGAGCCACTTCGGCTCCCCGGAGCTATCCAGGCTGATATATATATCACTAGACCTTGGCATCAGTCAGTGTGAATGGAGTTCTAGGCTTACCAGGGACCACGAACCAGAACCTGACCCCCCTAAGAGAGGCACGAGGAGCAATGGCCTATAGAAATGCACATGGAATTATGAGCATTCTATATCTGCTATCCCACACCCGTATGTGGGATGGGGATTAGGCCTTGGGGACTGCCCCTTCCCGATCGGCGACAGAGGAATTTGAGCCTTTTCCTCCTGCCGGGGCTTTCGGGTCGCAAAAGCCGGGGCTTGGGAGGAGTTGACTTGGGGGGCTTGGTGTTGGAAATTTCCAATACCTAATTACTAATCCCTAATACAATAGGATGTATTTCCTGTACTAAGCGTCATAATCATCCTACACTTATTTACTAATCCATAGTACAACAGAATGTATTTCCTATACAAGGGTTCATAATTAACTAACACTACTAATCAGTAGTTTAGTGATACTGAATTCATTTCATTAAGGTGTAAAACGTCATATAATTTTTCCTAGAATCATGAGTGTTGTGTCAGTGAGCTAGCCACAGGGAATCGTTTCATATACAGTGGTACCTCAGTTAAGAGTTCAATCTGTTCCTGAAGACAACTCGTATTCTGAAAACTCCTTACCTGAAGCTAATTTCCCCATAAGAAATAATGGAAATGAATTAATCCGTTCCTGACTACCCAAAAACCTCACTTCAAACTAAATTTTATACCTAATTCATCTAAATAAACCTACAAAACTATGTTCAAGTTATTACTTACCCTTGCTGATGAATGCTGTAGGCGTATGGAAGATGGTGAGGAGGGGGGAGGAGGAGAGGTGTTACTGTTTGGAAGGGAAGTCCCCTTCCATTATAACATCAGGCAGTGAGGACCTCTCTGGGGTGCATTCTCTGGCACGTTTTGCCTGCATACCACTAAGTCCTGGTTGTGGCTCACTGCTCGATTTTCTCACAACAAATCTGTCCATGGAAGATTGTTTTTCCCTTCTTCTCAAGATGTCTCTGTAGTGAGGCATCACATTGTCATTGAAAAGATTAATGCAATGCCCTACTACAGCTTTCTCTGTGTGAAACTTTTATTGAAAAGTTTGCATTTCTTCCCACATCTGACACCACTTCTTAATCTGCAACTTCTTAATCTCCACTTCTTCAAGTATTTGTGGTCTTTCTTTCGTGATTGTTCTTATGCCTTTTGCCACTTTAGCACTCATAATGTCCTTTTTCTTGCTAAGTATAGTGCATATCGTTGAAGTGGATTTGTTGTACTGCCTACAAAGTTCAACAACACGTGTACCATTTTCATGCTTCTGAATGATCTTTTGTTTTTCCTCTATTGTCATCCTCACATGCGCTTTCTTGCCTTGATCCTTACCACTGGCTTTCTTGGGACCCATGGTGAGATATATAATAACAACTTTTATGGTCAAATGACCAAAAATCCAACAAAACACTGAAAATCCTGGTGAAGAATTGAGGCGGGATAGTCACTGGGCGCGAGGCGCTGGTAAACTGAGGGGCGTTCGCCGTACCACCACATGCTAGGGCGGCCTGTACGCATATCAACACCCTCGCCTTCCGAGGCAAATTTTCCGAGCAAATCCTGCTCGTATTCTGAAAAACTCGTATACTTGTATTCCGAGGTATCACTGTATTAACAGATTGAGTAGAATCTAGCCTTATTTTGCCCTTTTATTAAGGATAATCGTTAATTAATAGATTCATCTCTAGTTAATAAATCTATCATGTTTTACTGGAATTAATTTATACAGCCACGATTAGCTGCATCAGTGAATAGAATGATAAGCCGTATCTCCACTCTAAATCTTTCTCGTTCATTTAATATCGTCTAAATTAATTGACTGCATTACGAGAAAATAATTGTTGCCGCATAATACATTTATTTATGACGTAAATATTCGTCATACCCCATTTCCTTCCATGTTATACTTGAGATCCCAGCTTTGGGAGCTATTGTGCATGTGCCATCCCAAGAAGGAAGGTGAGAGACAAGTGAGAACCGCCATGGTATAGGTGTTCTGAAGTTCGCTTATTGACATCGGTCCAAATTTGGAGCATCTGGTTACCTACAGGCTCCAGACTGATTCTGCAACTTCAATTATTTATGGACACCACATTCGGCAGGGATTAACACTTTCAGCCTCCCGGCGAAGGTAAAAAAAAAAGCGGTATGTGCTCCGGCGTTTTGCCGCGTAAGCGTAAAAACAAAAATGTGTATACTCTTTTTACTCTCCTGACCTTAGTTCTCGAGCTACGTATTTCATTTTGGTACCAACGTGTTCGCAATAAAATTCTCTAGAAGAACTTCAGTAAAAAAAGTCATGAAACGTATAGGGATACCAGCACCAAATAAATAACTACGAAGATGACTCGCCGTGAGCGCCCAACAGCAACAAAATGTTTTTACTCTTGGGATTGTTATCACCTCCACACTTGTCCTACAGCGTTAATTTTGGTATCAATGGACTCGCAATGAAATTCCCAACACGGTGATATGAATATAAGCATAGAATAATGATTGTGGCCCGCCCGCAAGAGTGTGGGAAGTGGTGAAATTGTTACCCGGTATCGGTGACGGGACGACGCACGGCGCTTTGAAAGTTTATACTTATTTCACTCTCATGACATTATTATTCTATGTACGTCATTCATTTTTGTGTCAATGTGTTCGCAATAGAATGTTCTATGAGCCCGTAGGTAAAAAAAATCAACAAAGCGTAAGATAGAATAGCACCAAATATAAAACAACGCTGGAACATATCAGTGAGAGTCAAACACACACGAAATGTTTTTACTTTTGTTATGTTTGTGAACCTTTCATGAACTTATTGTACCATGCAGCCTATTGGTGAGAAAGATAGCCTCATGGCTCGCAGTTTGAAACAAACCCAAAGTAAATCGGATAAAAATTGAATTTTATACAAATATTTTAAAAGAGGACATAAATTTATGTCCACCTAGCGGGAGCGGGTAGGTGAAACAGGACGCCGGGAGGAGTCCTCATCCGCAGAAAGTGTTAAGTATCCTTTAATAAGTTTTACCGGCCTTTAAAATTTAATTAGGTTGTTCCCTGTCGTGACGATGCATGGCAACATATAATCCTCACGTAAGTGTACTTCGGATACCCAAATCCATTTAGAATTTACTATTAAATGAATGATTCTAGGGGTTTGGAGTGGAATTTACATGATATTTGTATTTTAGCTGGAGTACAAACGTATGCGAGACAGTAACTTCTGCCACGATCACGTGTTTCCTTGAGTAGCCTGTGCAACAAGTTTACGTGTATGTGTATACGATTGTGAGAAGCACGCTGTGATACCTACTTACAGCTAAGCTGTCTTTCTCGTTTTTAGTTAACAAACATTGCATTTAACTAACTGTTGAATATTGTATGATTTATAATCTATATACATGCATTCCTTATTCTCATCATTTATGTAATTTATTATACATTACATGCATTACGTAGACTAACCTTATAGAATAACCCCCCAAAATGTGTTATGGTAAGCGGCTTTAGAATTTATAGAATTTA